AAAAAAAAACTTATTTGATAGTATAAGTGGCTTTCGAAGTTCACTTGACATTTACAGATGACACCTTGCTCCTCGGTCCAATCCACCTTGCCACCTGAAATAGAACAAAATAATTTCTTACATTGAAACACTCCTATGAAACCATTTATTAGTATGGAAAGAAAAGAATGCCGCTTTTTCGGATTTTTTCAGGTAAAATTGGTATTTCTCAGGAACTAGAGTACATCGAAGGCTCAAACCTCACGGTTGAAAACTGGAACGTTTGTGGTACACGACCTGCATATAAGAGATGAGCCCAGGATTACTAGGGGAGGAGTTTGCCATTTTCCATTTTTCAATTTTTTCCTGATTTCTGATCGCGAAAATCATGTTAAATGCACATACGGATAAGTGCATGTGTTTGTAACATGATGAAGCAAATGAGAAATTTGTAGGGTAACAATCAGAACACAGAACAGAACACCAATCCATGGACGATCTTATATTTGATTCATATTCTTATCCTCTTCCCTACAGCTATATTGCCCTCTGACCTACTCGTCTCGATGCTATCGCCATGGCTTTTTCAGCAGCCCAACAGTAACGCCGAATCCTTCTTGGATTTTGAAAAAAAAATTTCCCGCTATTTTCAAAGAGTAATAACTGTTTTGTAGAGCAGATCTTTGGCTACATTTTACTTGTTTCAGGTTACATGAGCCACATTTATCAGATCCTCAATGTTTCTATATTGGAGAAAAGCGCGGCTTCTTGGTTAGGTTTACCACGTAAAATTTCCGAAAATTCCAAAAAGCTAATTTTTCAAAGCAAATCAAATTTGGTTGTGTTACGTGAATAATGTTCAATAAGAATCAAGTTTTATAATAATTACCAGAAATTTCAAAAGCTTTCATGTTTTTGCTGCAGTTGCGTGTCTCATGACTTGACGAAAAATCGAGACCTCCGAAGAAATATCTTTTTGAAGCTCTTGCTCTATTTGATATATGCTTAATTTTTGTGAAACTCTAGAATGAAATTTCGAAAAGTTAGCCTAATTTTGAGCAGATAAAAATGACGGGTGAAGAATGGCAATTATCAAAAAAGCATACAGAATTGTGGTTTGGAAATGCAACCATAAGAAAGAGAAGGAAAATGCATAGAATGCATGTTGAAACTAATTCTGGCCTTTTTGTGCATGGTTTTACAGCGGTTTAAAAAAATCGACAAAACTTCCGGGACAATCTAATTTTTCCTATTCGTCCTGTTCTAGTCTAACAAGAGAACAATCCCAAATTAAGGCGGCGAACTGGTATGAACTGAATATCATTGAAAGCGTCTTTATGCTGTTTCACATCTGCCTCCTATATCTGCGATGCCGTTTCTGGAAGAAGTTATGAGCGGTTAAAAATATGGAGTCATTGGGGTTTCAATGCATAATGCACTTTAAAATCAACTCGTGGAGTGCATGACTAACACGCTATTGAGTGTACTAATTTCAAGGAATGCTTACATTATAGGAAACACTAAGAAGTATTTTTGAACAATGAAAAAACAAACTAAGTTGTTTAATAAAAGCTATGAGTAATGAAAAGCTGGCAAATATACCGCGCTATACCTCAAGTTACTTGTTCAAAAACACATCTTTGTGTTTCTGTCGGATGTAAACACTCTTTGAAATTAGTACACTCAATATCATGCTAGTCATGCACTCCCAAGTTGGACTTCAAACACATTATGCATTAGAACTTCAATGTCTTCACATATTTATTTAACCGCTCATAACTTCTTTCAGAGAACGGCATCGCAGATATGAAAGGCAGATTTGGAACCAGCTCATCAAGATGCATCCAGTGGTATGGGGCTCTTTCCAGTTTGCCCCCCCCCCCTCTTGTTAGATTAGAACAGTATACAAAAATATTAGATTGTCCCGAAAGTTTTGTCGGTTTTTCAAACCGCTATAATACCACGCACAATAAAGTCCTGAATGAGTTTCGTTCCCTTGTAAGAAACGACATTCTTTTTTTTTCTAACCCACTAATTTACTTAGTTTAGCACATTTTCACATAGAGACCAAAATCTGTTTAACCTTCTCAATAGATGGGAAAAAAATTCCTTTCGGTTAGCACTAGCCCTGAGGAGGTATTACGGGGTAGGGGAACGGACTTCGCCACTTTTGAGCCGCTGGCGGAGTTCGTTCCCTCAACCCGGTAATACGAGTTCAAGCACAAACACTGGACATGTGATCACGCAAAATTCGGTGAAACAGGATTTGTCTGCACAATTAGGGGACGTTGGTGCTGAATGAAGGGGATTTTTAACTGGATTGTCCTATTCAAAATTTCTGAACAGAAAGATTACATAGGAATTGTCTGACTTTAAGACAGCTGTTGGCGGAGATTCGGAGAAAGCGAATATGTATTTGAAAAAATAGAGATTTTGCTTCAAACATTTCTTTCGCTATTTTTACTTTCACTGCTTAGAACCAGTGACAGAAACGGTTTCGTTTTGTGACAAAGTGCATGTCCAACGTGTTGTTAAAATTGAAGCTCACTGTTTTGCTAGCATTGCATTTCGAAGTAAGTCAAATTACACCATGGCTCGACAAAGTTTCGGCTAGCGAGTATAAATTAGGATCATGGCGCTAAGACAGTATTTGGTTTTTGATCCAGTAGGCTGCAGATTAGTCAAGGTCAAGTTTTTGGAATTAGGTGATCCAAACTGTGTGAAGAACTTTCGCAACAAATAAATCTCAAAAATGTGCTCGTATGATGGTGCAATTTACTTTATTTACTTTCCGTCTATCATCGAATGAAGTAAGGAAAAATTAAACAAAATTGTATAAACAGTTGCTAAAAATTGACTTAGCACCACTATTGAATTAGCTTAACTCTCACAATCGTTAAACACAGAAAAACCTTTGAAAAATAATGGCAACGTTGCTAAAGCACTTCTGTGTATAATTTACTGATCGAAAAAGTTGAAGCAAAACGTTAATTATATTCTTTATTTGCACCGATTATCAATCTTTTCCAACTTCAATATCGACCCAATTAAACTGAGCACTATCAACAAATCTTCAGCTGAAAGGAAATAGTTATTGCGTTGGTTGTGACAATGAATTTTGTTTTTAAGTTATGCGACCTGTTGCACAGAATCGGATTGATCGCTAGTTTTCCCTAACACGACTTGAATGCCAGCGCAGAGGCCTTCCTTATACCTGCCCTTCGTAACAGAAATCACATATTAAATTCACGTATTACTTGTACGCGGTTACTCTCAAGCAATTCAGGATAACCTTACAATAATAGTTCGCCCTGTATCTTTTCTTTTCTGATAGCCCCGTAAGACAGAGATTTTCCCCGCACTTCGACAAAGATTTATACCTTGATGTGATTTGAAAATGGACGTTAAGATATTATATGCTATCGTTTTGAAATTACCCTTCCTGACCTTTTTAGGATTTTTTTTTACTCTAACACACTCTTTTCTACTCTTTGATGCTTCCGGAATCATTACTGCAAATATCGTGTTTTAGTTTTGTTCATATCATTGCACAGCAAAATTCAACTAGGATTTCGTCTAGAATCGAAAAATTTGCTGCTTGATCATCATCAATCACTTTGAAGCAGTTTAGTATTTACCATGGTAAAAAAAATAATTTGGAAATTTTGAATGCAAACATGTAACTTTTGGCAGGCGAAATCCTGAAGTTTTGGATGTTATCTATAAGCAAGATACTATGCTTTCTAGATAAAGTGGCTACGTAGGATAGATTCCAGACATGAATAAACGCTCTAGATTTTTAATAAGATATGGTCGCCATGCGGTTTTTCTAAACCAGCTACCAAATAATAACATGCATGATTTGGCGAATTGAGCTGCCTTTTGCTTCAATCAGATCGGCGGCTGGAGGGCGGAGCTCCGTGACCTAGTTAAGGCTAGAAAGTGATTAGAAGCATGTTCGCGAAGGAGGCGCAGACTGCTCGCGGATGCGAGCAGTCGCCTCCTAGGTTGTGGGGCCACGCCTTCCTGCATGTTGGGTTGCTTTGCTGGATGTTTTTTGATTTATATTTTTCTGCACACTTAGTCAACTTATCGAAACTTCCAATAATCGAATCTCCTTTAACCAACGCAGAGCAAGATCCGAAATTTTGAAGCGAAATGTTGGATGCACCCTATCAATGCTAGGGATATGTATGTCCGTGATCGAGCTACCACTAATTCAGTCAGTGCATTTGATGACTACCGTTGACAGATGTCGACAATGAAGAGTTGCACCGAAAATCGCTCAAGGTATAGCAGAGCTTGCAGGGCAACCTCGCTCGATTTCTTTTTTAAAATCTGAATTCGTTGTTGAAAAAACTCAGAGACGCAAATTTTGGGACGTTGCAAAATCTATATTCGTCTGAAAGTACAAAAATGGATTTGTTCGCGAAAACCTGGTGATATGTATTGCACATTATCGCCATGTAGATGAATTTTCGAAGTAGGTAACTTTATATAGCAAAATGTCATCAAATTACCAAATATGAATAAGACAGGAAGCGTAAGGTGCTATGCAAATTGTTAGATTGTAGTAAAACCTTTTATTTCCGAAAAATCAGGATGAACGTTAAAGCGTTTTCAGTAAAAAAAAGAGTGACGAACAATCACTCACAATATGCGCATAATCTCCATATGTGCATAATCAGTCCGTATTTTTTCATTGTCTCTCGGAATGGTGAGAATTATAATTTAGGACTTAATAGCGTGCTTGTGGAAAATTTTGAGTATTCTTATTTGTAAGATATAAGATATGTACAAATAAAACAGACCTCTTAGAGGGCAGAAAGTTGGTTATGTTAGCGATGCACTTTCCTTTTCGTTTAGAGGTTGTACTGTTCGTTTTCCATAAATCGCAACCCCACTCGACGAAAGCATGTAAATCCTTAATATATATTAGGCTTAGGCAATTGCATTTTGTTCATTATTGCAATGAGGGGCGCTTCTTCGTTCAAAAGAAATCAGCTTCAAAAAAGGAAAATTTAACAAACGTAAGATCTTACCTTGAAATCAAACCACATCGCACCCTCAACGAAAGCGGCAGTAATTTTGAAATCTCCACTCCTATAACGAGGCACTGAATGCAGCGAATACGAAACATCGTAACAATTACCAAAAATCTAGGGGATAGAAATGCTTTATCTGTGGATAACGTGCAGTGAGAGCCATCTTTTCTAATGAGCAGTTGTATTGTGGTACCTGAACAATCGATTTTCTCTAAACATGTCAAACAGTGATGATAAGTAAAGCTAACCATCTTCCGCATCGGCCACCTAAATCCCAGAAAATCCCCTATTGCCCTCTTGACGTCTTCTCGATCAGTATCGTTAGGAGTAAAACCCTCACACCTGCATACACCTGTTGGCCTTTGTGCATAATCCGGTACTGGCAAGATCTGAATTGACACTGAAACTCTGATTTCAAACCAAAGTTGGCACTTACAACTAAAGCTGTCAGTATAGCTAGCATCCTGTACTCCCTTCGAGTGATGCCTCTTTTTATACCACCAAAATTGAACATCAAAACGCAAAAAGCAAGTGCATCTCTTCTTTCCAAATGATGAAAATTTTCCAATTAAACATCTGCATCAATATTACTCCCACTAGTGTGCACTGTCACATACTGTTCTAAAATTGACTTATCAAAATACTTGCAGTCCCTTCTCACTGAATTCGAGAAGATATAGAGCTTCATTTCAAACTTGTTTAGGTCCATTTTTCGTTTTCCTTCGCGCAGTGGTTCACTTTGAATGGACAGTCCGGTATATGTTATACACAAGCATTCTGAGAATAAGATGACTATTATCATTTTTAGTTTTTCCTGTGCTGTAAATTGTAGCTGAATACTTGCTATCATGCCGCAAGCTTTTTAAGTGACGAAAATCATTTTTCTGAAAGCGCAGAAGGCCTAAGGTATACCTTCCGAGATTTCAGTCGCGTCGCGATTTTCAACACATGGACATATGTTCCAAGTCCGCAGCGCACGTGCGCCCAACTGTGTGGTCGCGCTGCATCTGTGTTAGATTGACGCTACGACGAATTGCTGGCCTTTTTTTGAGGGGGGGGGGGGGAGGCATACTCTCAGCAGGATATCGTTGCGACACCGTTCAAACTCAGCGATATCGCCGTTACTAGTTCTGTACCAGCGATGGGCGAATCGTTTGAGTGGCTCCTTTGTGAGGTATTTTGTATTTATTTTTGCAAAAGCGAATCTCATCTAGAACTATTCCGTCTTACAAGCACTTCCTCTCTGCTTGAGAGAAGGGCGGTCATCGAACATTCCATACTATTAGGTTGTTCCGAAAGTTCTGTCCGATTTCTAGTTGCCTTGTTTTAACGCAGCTAGTCTCTTGGAGTTTTGTGATTGTTGCAGATATATGACCATTTGAAAGCACTTTTCTTGCTCTTTCTAGTGCCTAATGCTTGACAAGAAATCTTCTCGTTGATGAAATTCCGAGCTCCAAACCCAAACTGCCAAAATGCAGTCATGCTCAAGAAAAAGTTTCTGTGAACAGAGTTCCCGCAATATCCGTAAATTAATTATGTAATATTTATAGTGGGTGAGGATGTAATGGGTTAACATAAGCACACTATTTCTTCAACGTAAAGAATGTCTTACTTTTTCAATATCTTTTCAAAGAAAGAAGACAAACTCAGTTATTCAACAAGCGACAACAATCTACGCATAGCGACAGGTGATGCATTCAACAATGCTTATGTTAGAGTAAACCTAAAGCAAGCGGGGACTTTCGGCGGCTTTGTTCGTTTCCGACAGCAAGAAAAAACCAGATATTAAAAAGCTGACCAAATTGTGCGCGCGGAGGAGGGCTCAAATAATGGATTTTTTTGATTTGCTTGTGAAAATTTCTGTGCAGCAAAGATAGCTCGAATTCTCTTTAGCCATGATAGAGTCTTTAAAGTATAGGCTACTCAATGGTGGCAGCCAAATATGTCTGCATATCCTTATTTGGAAGCATTAGTACGTCAAAGTGGATGGTTTTAAAGGAAACTTTGCAAAATACTCCAGATTTTCTCTTCTCTCTCGCTTGCTTTCTTTATATGACATACTGTGCTTTTGATAGATGTAACTCGCTTTTTCCAAAAACAACCGTTCTAATCATTGCAAACAACACATGCGAAATACTCAGCATGAAATGCTTCTCATATGTCAGCTCACCCTCCGTGTTACCATTTACTATTCTGGCAGTAATCTTCTCCTTTTTTATTTAGTAATAACAGGTGTGACCGAATCTCGAAAGTTTCTGATATACCCGAATCAGAGCAGATGTACGATCTCGGTTGCTTAGGATATGTATAGTCGTTCGCAGATTGGCA